TTTTACCTTGTGAAGGATTGGATAATGGGAACGGTGCTCATGCGCTGTAGATGTGAAGGTGGTGTTTATCCTATGGAACTATGTTGGTCCTCACCTCAAGCTCATGCTGTCACTTTGGCTGGAACCCATACTTCAGTTGATCGTTGGCATCATCGACTGGGTCACCTTGCTCCAAAGCTTTTATCATATATTCTCCGTAGCTATAACTTGCCTGTGTCCTCCTCTAAGTCCTTATTGTCCTGTATTTCATGTCATTGTAATAAGTTGTATCGATTGCCCTTTAGTGTCACTTCCCTTACAAGCCATGCTCCTCTTGAATATTTATATGCCGATGTTTGGGGACCATCCCCAGTTCCTTCTGTTGATGGCTGTCGCTATTATGTACTTCTTGTTGATCATTTCACAAAGTATTGTTGGTTTTATCCTATGCGTAATAAGTCGGATGTGTCTTCTATTTTTGAATAATTTATTGCCATGGTTGAAAACTAATTCACCAGAAAAATTAAAAATTTTTATTCCGACAACGGTGGTGAATAGCCCCGCATACTACCCAACAAAATGGCACTGTCGAACGTCGTCATCGCCATATCGTTGAAACGGGAATGACCCTTTTACATCATGCCTCGGCTCCTTCTACTTATTGGTCATATGCCTTGGTCACAGTAGTTTACCTTATTAATCGTCTTCCTACTCAATTACACTTACGTCAAAGTCCCTTTGAAGTGTTATTTGGACGAGTTCCCGACTATCATAAGTTGCGCACCTTTGGCTGTTAATGCTACCCTTGGCATGTTCCCTATCGTGCAAATAAATTTCAACCCAAGTCCCAACCTTGTGTTTTTCTCGGTTACTCCCTTTCTCAACATGCTTTTCAATGTCTGGACCTTCACACGGGTAAGATTTATCTCTCTCGTCATGTCACTTTTGATGAAAACATTTTTCCCTTCACAAAAGCGACTATCTCTATTCCTACAACAGTTGCTACACCGTGTCCTCCTTCTTCCAATCCCACTCCTGTTCCTCTGGTTTGCATGGTTCCATTGGATGATCACCCTGTTACACCTATAGCGCCTGATGACATGGCAACCGTGACTTTGTCTCCTACACCAGGTATGGTCTCATCTTCTCCTACTAATAATCCACCCTCCCCTGAGTCGCCTCTGCCCATAGCACCTGCACCTCTTACTTGCACTCATCCCATGTTCACTCGGGCTCAGAATAATATTTTCTGTCCTAAGCTCTCAGTTGCTACCAAGCATCCTTTTGCACCACCATTGGAACCAACTTGTGTCTCCCAAGCTCTCAAGGACCCCAAGTGGCGTAAAGCCATGGCTGATGAATTTACTGTATTAGTCTCACATGGTACTTGGAAACTGGTTCCTAAGCCTTCAGCTTCCAATTTAATTGGCTGTAAATGGGTGTTTTAGATTAAGCATTATCCAGATGGTACAATGGATCGGTTTAAGGCATGTCTTGTAGCAAAGGGGTTCAATCAACGCCCATGTGTCGATTATGCTGAGACTTTCAGCCCTGTTATAAAACTGACCACCATTCGGTTCATTCTCTCACTGGCCCTGTCAAACAATTGGCCCCTCAAGCAAATCGACATCAATAACGTGTTTCTTCATGGTCAGTTAACTGAGCAAGTATTTATGCAGCAACCTACAGGCTTCATCGATCAGTCCCACTCTTATCATGTTTGTTCTCTCCAGAAATCCATTTATGGTCTCAAGCAGGCGCCTAGAGCCGGGTCCAATGCATTGCGCTCCGGCTTTCTTGAGTTGGGTTTCTGTAATTCCAAGTCTGACAGCTCCTTATTTATCTTCAATTAGGATGGAGTTTTACTATATGTGCTGGTGTACGTTGATGATTTAATCCTCATCGGTAATGATAGCTAGTTCTTGCAGCATGTTGTCAAATCTCCAGGTGAAAAGTTTTCTTTGAAGGAACTCAGTGATCTGCATTATTTTCTCGGGGTGGAAGTTATTCCAGTTCAGCAAGGTCTATTTCTTTCTCAGAACCGTTACATTCATGATCTCCTTACCAGGTTGAAGATGGTTGGTGCTAAGGAAGTTCAAACCCCCATGTTTGTGACTGCTAAGCTCATGCTTGATGATGGTTCTACTAACTGTGATGCTACTGAATACAGAAGCATAATTGGCTCTCTTCAGTACCTCTCGCTTACTCGCCCAGACCTCGGTTTTGCAGTCAATCGATTTGCTCAGTTCATGCACAAACCAACAGTCACACATTGGCAACATGTTAAACGGCTCCTGCGCTATGTCAAGCAGACCATTCACTTTGGTCTCCTACTGCATCGACAATCAAACCCAATGCTTAGGGCTTCTCCGATGCTGACTGGGGTGGTGATCTTGATGATCGTAAGTCTACCATGGCTTATATAATTTTTCTGGGCAATAATCCCGTTAGCTAGCACACTAGGAAGCAGAAGGTCGTGGCTCGCTCTTCTATGGAAGCAGAGTATCATGCATTGGCCACTGCAGCTTCAGCTATAGCTTGGATAAAATCTCTTCTTGATGAACTTGGGCTTACGTTACGTGAACCACCGCTACTTCTCTGAGATAATGTTGGCGCAACCCAGCTTAGTCTCAACCCTGTCATGCATTCTAGGATGAAACATATTGCTATCGATCTTCACTTTGTTCAAGACTTTGTTAGTCGTGGAAAATTACATGTTGCCCATGTTCACACGGATGACCAACTTGCTGATTTACTGACAAAGCCTCTTGCTCGATCTTGATTCAATTTGTTACGTGGCAAAATCAACGTTGCTGATGGAACGTCCATTTTGAGGGGTCATATAAGGGAACCTACATAAATCACGTTTATCGGTGATTTCCTCTCTGTCAATACCTTTGTATAGCAACTCTATATTCTTTGATTGTATATTCCTTAAATAGCTGTAGCTCTGTTTATGGTTGTACATTCCTTAATTAGCTGTAGTCTTGTAATATATTAAGACTCGTTGTAATGCAAGGTATTATTGTGAATTTTACGAAATCACTTGCGTAATCTCTATATTAGCAACATTAATTTATGAAACTATAGCTCTTTTGCAATTGACCATGTTGATGTCTAACTGTAGATTTTGTGGTGTATAATTTTGTAATAGGCGCATGGATGAGACACCTGGCATTTCCTAGTCATTTGCTTAATTTTTCTTGTGATTAATATCAACAATGAGAATGAGGAGATCTACTATGTCACAAAATACATATTTGTTCCTTCATTTGATTCCAATGGTAACATAACTTTTATGCATATTGAGTAATTTGTTTCTACTGTAAAAGTTGGTATTTATTTGAAGTACATATCTTATTAGATGGTGTTTTAAATATTTTACGGACTAAATACTATAAAATTTTGTTTTCATTTTTATTGGCATTATCTAGAGTTTCGATAAGCTAATCGATTAGGTAATATTATAGATTTGAAAAGTGATTCGACCCGATCGGAAAAGAGATCATTTTCAACGTCATCAACAACATCAAGTAGCTTGAAGGCTCGAGCTAAGGCAAGTGAAAAAGTGGAGAATTACATAAAAGAGGTGCATATGGATAGGAAATGTGAGAGACAAATGGATGACAACCCTTGGGAGTCACCTGTAACGTCTCCTCCACCCATCTATAAGGTCTCATATTCTAACCCTAGCTCATCAAAATTGTATTTAGTAATCAAGTTATTAAGGTTGAATAATAAAGTAATTACGAAGTGATGCTGATTTGAAGACAAGTTTACGTGCTAAAATGACGAATTTTCTATTGTTATATTGTTTCTAATTATAATTTTTTTAATTATAATGTTTTTTTCTCAACGAATAGATAGACATTAACAACAAAATTAAATTACCTTTTAATCATTAAATGTTCTATCTTAGTTACAGTGAGTTAGATTATATCCACTTAAATATTTAATTTAAATTTGCAACAATTATAAATTGCAACCCAAAAGAATTGGGTCAATATTCAACCTCAAAGAAGACAAGTAAGACTAGGGGCGTAGCCAGAAATAATGTATAGGCGGTCAAAGTTAAAAGAACAATACAATTTTAAATTAACATAAGCATAAATTTTATATTTATAAAATTCTCATTAACTAATACATTTATAATTGTCCTCGATGGGATTTCATCTTTTGAAAGTATTGTATAATAACTTCATTATCAATACTATCAAATACATCTTTCTCTGTATACACAACTAAGCTATCATTCAACCATTGATCACTCATTCTATTTCGCAAATAATTCTTCACAAAATTCATTGTTGAAAATACTCTCTGTACACTAGCAGTGGCAATGGGTAGAATCAATGCTAATTTCATCAACAAATAAACACTTTATCCTTCTTACTTCCAACCATCATTTTTGCCAGATCTCCATTCCCTTTCAATCCCATAAATTTGACATTAGAGTGCATATAAAAAATGCAAACATCAAGTTGAGAATCAAGTGCCATGAGTTCTAAGTCAGAAAAATCATCAAGATAAAGTTCGGCAAGGCATATCAATTTCTATTTATCAAAAGCAACAAATGATTCATTTAGACATAAATATGCCAAACAGATAAGCAATTCAGTGTTTACCTCATTGAATCGATTTTTCAACTCTTGAAGCTACATATCTAGGACATTATAAAATAATTCAATGTGGTAATGATACACGTTTGTGATACCTTGAGCCTTACGTTGTGATCGCCCTTGAATAAAAAACTTGTCATCCATATTAGGAACATCAATGTCATGATTGGCACAAAAAGAATAAACTTTGCTTAATAAAGTCTCTCATCCGTTATCCCTCATCAATTGTAAAGCTTGCTTACATGATTCAACCAAATTCATAGCATTTACAATATCTTGATCTTTTCTTTGTAGTGCTTGAGAAAGTTCATTTGTAAAGCCAAGTATATCTTTCATCAAAAATAGACTAAACACAAAGTCAAATGATTGCATCAATTTAAATATGTTTTTTGCATGAAATCTTTACTCAGAGTATGACCCATCTTTTGCCACAATTTCAAGAACATCGATAATGGATGAAAACATCAAGATTATGCTCATTAATGTACCATAATGCGAGCCCCAATGCGTATCACTAGCACGTTGTAGATTAGTCTCTTGATTAAGACCTTTTCCACTTGAAAGTTCACCATTAGAAAGAGCTTCAATAACTTTACAAGCTTTGTTATCTCTAAGAAGGTCGCAACGCTTTGATGAAGCACCGACAATATTAACCACAATCGCCATGATATTAAAAAGATCATTAACATCATCATGGTTCTTTGCCAAAGCCACAAGAGCCAACTAGAGTTGATGGGCAAAACAATGAATATAATAAGCGCATCTATTCTCTTTCAAAACCAATGTCTTCAAACCATTAAATTCTTCTTGCATATTACTAGCTGCATCATAACCTTGTCCTCACAGTCTAGAAAAACTCAACCCATGCCTTGAAAAGAAATTATCTAGTGTTGCCTTGAGTGAGAGAGCTATGGTACTAGTAACGTGTTCAACACCTAGAAAACGCTCAACAACAAGTCCATTTTTGTTAACATAACGTAAGATAATAGCCATTTGTTCCTTCCTAGAGATATCATGAGATTCATCAATCATTATAGCTAATAATGAATCTTCTAAATCTCTAATGATAACACTTACGGTTCATTTGAAGCAACACTTACAATGTCTTTTTGAATCTCAGGTGATGTCAATTTGAGATTATCAGGAGCATTCTTGAAAGCAACAGCATTGTAATCTTCATTATGATTAGCAAGAAATTGTAGAAGCTCGAGAAAATTCCCTTGGTTGCTTGAATCATAGGATTCATCATGACCACGAAATGCAAGTTCTTGCCTTAGAAGAAAACGAATACAGTCAGTTGTAGCATTTAAACGAGTTCGATACTCTATTTGTGCTTGAGAAGAATGTCGATCAAAAAATGTCCGAATATACTGGTCTTGATTCAATAATGTTTCACACATTCTTCAAGCTTGTTTATGACACTATTAGAACCTCCAACATGAATATTCAATTTTTCTTTCTTTTTCCAATTTGAAAACCCTTGACCAACAAAGCGATCACAACCCCCTTCGTTTTGGCTTAAAAAGATAGCAATAAAGACAAAACGCAACATCTATGGCTATACTATATTCCAACCATTGTTCAAATTCACTAAACCAAGAAACAACAAAACGTCTTGAAAATCCACCAGAATACCTAGAAGGAAACTCATGGCCTTTAGGTTGACAAGGACCCCTTTTTAAATATATTCTTCCAATTTGATCTTGAATATTAGGATCATAATCTAAAATTCAGGGTCTTAAGCCTGGATCTGTATGAAGATCTCGCAAATCAACATCCACATTTTTACTTGAATCACCAATATTTTCCTCTTGTTCAAGTGATAAGATCATTGTTGACTTTCTTTTGAAATATCTCTCCATACTATTTCAAAACAATAATATATTATTACTTGGTAGAGAAAAATGCAACAAAATAAGCTGTATACTCAGTAAAACCAAACAATAACAATAATCTATGTATACAATAATAATTATTAAGATAAGTGAAATTACAACTACTACAAAAATTTATAAAGCTAATAAGTTAAAGTATTCTAACAATGCATACACATCACAACTCACAAGTTATCTCTTTCTTTTTCTAATTTGTAAGTACTTTAAACAAAATTTAATTAAAGTAATAGAAATTGAATTGAAATAGATCTTAATGCAAAATTTTTTTTAAATATATCTTACATTATATACATTGGCTATAATTCAATTGATAGGTGTAAAAAATCTATTCAAATAACCAAACACTTGTACAATTAAACCCACTTTTTCATAACACTTGTAAAACAATTAAAATCAACTCTCATTTGAATCAAACACTTTTTTATAACAAATATAAAAATGGGTAAACTAATGTGGTCCCAAGAATGAAGAACCCATCTTTTCCATAAAAAAAACAACACAAAATTACCATTGGCCAACTCCAAAATCCATTTGAATCAAACACTTTTATATAACAAAGATAAAAATGGGTAAAACAATATGGTCTCAAGAACTCATCTTCTCCATATAAAAAAAAACACAAATTCGGCTATAATGGTAAAACAATGTGGTCCCAAAGCCAACTCCAAAATTCATTTGAATCAAACACTTTTATATAATAAAGATAAAAATTAGTAAAATAATGTGGTCCCAAGAACTCATCTTCTCCATACAAAAAACAAAAAAAGGGCAATATGGAATGGGTAAAACACTGTGTTTCCAAGGCCAACTCCAAAATAAGTTTAAAAACTATCTTCTTACTTTCTCTAACTTCAATATATCATTACAAATAAATAAAAAATGGATGCAATTTGTGGTCCCAATGACAATTTCATCTTCCTAAATCCTAATTTATAATTTAATCTTAAACTTTTAAAATAAAATAATACAAACATAAAAAGTATTACCTGAAAAATTGAAGAAAAAAGGGACTTGTTGGCTTGATAGGAGGAGAAATTACACTTGTGTAGATAAAGCCTTAAAGGAAAAGAATTGGCTTTATAAGTTATTGAAAAGAAGAAGACGTCTGAGGGAAAGAGACATCTGAGGGAAGGAGAATGATGGGTTTACTTTTAATAGGAGAAAGAAGGGTTTACTTTTAGTTTCACAGCCTCCAAAACAAAAAAGTATAATTTATTGGGTATAAATATATAATGTAGCTTTTTGGTATTTTAATTTTATATAGGGGTTAATTTGTAAAAACAAAGCAAAAAATTTTAAAAGTCAAGGAGGGTCATCTGGCCCTCCTTGACCCCCCTCCCTCCGCCCGAGTAAGACAATCCAATGGCTGAAAATACCAAATCAAAAGCGTACACTTCCATCAACTATGAGTACAATCACACCACATCGAAACTCCTTCTTGTATAAAAACTTCTAATCAATTGAACAAATAAACCATATGGGCAAAACCCTCTTTTAAACTTCCACCGCCTGTATGAAAATTAAAAAAGGAGAATCCTATCAATCTAGGGTTTCCTCCACCTGTACAAAAATCCTACCAATCTAGGGTTTTTCTTCCGCATTGCAAGAACTGATCAAGAATTAGCAGCCGCTTCAACAGCCTCTCTATCTACTCGCTTCTTCTCTCAGGTTTTCTCCCCTCCCCATCGGCTCCTTCTCTACGGTTTTCTTTCATCACACTCCATAGCTTTTGTTCACTGTCATTTTGAGCTTGTTTTAACATGATTTACGTGTTGTTTTATCAAAAATTTCTCGTTCATTTATTTATTTATTTAATTTAAGTTAAATTTTCATCACATTGCATAAGAAAATTTTCCTAACTGATATTTGATAATAAAAGTGGCAACCTATTAAATGACTTGTTTCCATATCCTCGAACTTCCCTATTCTCATACGAAACCAATTCCCATAAAGGCTCACAATTTCTATACATAAATACATTCAGAGAATCTCCACTCTCCAAAAGGTGTGCTGCACTTTTCATTTTGTGCATGTACAAATCTAGCTACTTTTCTTTTTAATAGTCTATTGTACTATTACAATGTCATTTGATTGTAATAGATTGACGTGTTTAATCTAGTGCTATAAATTTAATCCTTATCTATAAGAAATAAGAACTTGCTAAAGTATTTTTCCACAATGGAAGTCTTAAAATCTCTTAATTAAGAAAAGTAGATTCAATTTTGTTTTCACAATCAAATAACAATAATATTCAAATATAACTATCTCTGGGTAGCCGAGCAGTTTAATAGGGACTCTTGGGTGTATTACTCAAGAGTCTTGAGTTTGAGTCGTTTCTCGATTGCTAATATGATAGTCAATAAAGCTTTTATCCGGCCAATAGTTTTAGGGTCTCAAGAGATTAGTTGAGGTGCGTATAAGCTAATCCGGACATAATAATAATAATAATAATAATAATAATAATAATATTCAAATATCAAGGAAATATATTATAAATTTTCAGTAAGTTTCTTCTCGGCCAATATTCAATTTCAATTTCACCAAATTCAGAGGACAAACTTATATAGGAAATTATCATATTTTCCCAATTTTAAGAAGATTTATTACCAAATTACAAGGACCCTTTCAAAATCCCAATTTAGAAAGGGATTTTCAATATTAAAAAGTCCAAATATGAAATATTAATCTTCCTATTTCTCTTTATTGCACGTTAATTAATTTCCTATTTAATTAATTGAAGCATTCATAAAAATTTACGTTCATAAAATTTTCGAAACCTGACTATAAATACACGAGTTTATGCTTAAACTATTTCATTGTTCAGAACTTAAACTTGTTATAGGAGAGATGGGAGCTTGTTTTTGTAAGAAACTCATCTCCATTCATCTTCTATTTACTTAATTTCATGAGCTTTTCTTTGTTATTATTTTCTGAGCTTCTATTTACTATTTCTTTGTTATTTGCTGTGGAAAATGATAATAATCATATTGATAATCCTAAAAACTAATTATTTTATATTTTCAAGCACTTGACGATTGTTTTTTTCTTCATTTTCTTTCAGCAAGTCCTCGTAGTCGTGACGATAAAAGGAAGGAAGTTGTGACTAATAATTCAAATACTGAGGTATCAAATACTAAAGTACCAAAGACTGAGGTCTCAAATACTGAAGTACCAAATACTGAAGTCTCAAATACTAAAGTACCAAATACTGAAGTCTCAAATACTAAAGTATCAAATACTGAAGTACCAAATACTGAAGTATCAAATACTGAGGTACCAAATACTCTACAACATCACTCCCAAGATTCAAACAATAATTATCCTGGTTTGGGAGAGTATGATTATCCTCAATTTCATTATTCTAACCCTCCTGATGGTTATAATGTTTGTGGTGGAAATAGTGATGATTTTGCTACAAGGATGACGAATAAAATTTTTTATGGGTGCTAATTAAAGTTTAAGATTATTAATAAAACTAAACTTATTGGAATTTTTTTTAAGGTTTGGATTAGGGCTTTTCTTTTGTCTAGAATTTATTTGAATGTAGCTTTAATTAATTAATGTAATATTATATGAGTTCTAATGCTCCTGTCTTATATTTATCTTAAATTGATCAAATTTTATTGTTTTTAATTATCATGGATTTCTAAATTTTAATTCATATATGAATCATACTACACTATGCATAAGAATTTAGATACACAAAAACCATAATAATCACATTAATTGATATAAAAATATAATCAAGGGCATTTTCGGAATTCAAACCACTTTTCCTAGTCTGAATATGAAGAAAACCAAATTCGCCACGTGTCAAACCTTTCCCGCTAAAACTCGACCAACGTCTTTCACTCCTTCTCTGCAACTATAACTAACTGAAGGCTGCAGAGAAAGACCTCGAATTGTCATCAATGGCCCCCAAACTCTTCATCTCCCTCATTTTCTTTTCTCTCCTTTCTTTCTCCTCCTGTCTCCCCAATGATTCCATCTCCAAAGCCGTCGAAATACTCTCGAATTCCGGCTTCCTTTCGATGGCTCTCACCCTTGAATTCGGCTCCAAGAACTTGATCCCTCGCTCTGAATCCCTCACCATCTTCACCCCTTCCGACTCCACCTTCGCTTCATTTGGCCAACCGTCTCTTTCCCTCCTGAAATTTCACTTTTCTCCCAAATCTTTGACCTCCCAGTCCCTCAGATCCCTCCCTTTTAACTCCAAGATTCCAACTTTCTCCCCTTCCCACACTCTCCTGGTTACTTCACCGCCTTCTCGTGATCAAGGTTCCGTTTTGCTTAATGGCGTCAAGGTTAACGCCAGCTCAGTGATATACGACGACGGGTGGTTGAGAATCTTTGGGATTGAGAAGTTCTTTGATCCAAACTTTCGTGCCTCTCCAAGGACTAATCTTGATTGTGTAGCATCGGCACGTGATGACGATGAAGACGACGGCGATGGCTCGATGAGTTTCGATGAAGCTATTCACAAAATGAAAGAGAAAGGGTACTCA